TTATTTGTTTCATTAATTTGTTATTTTAAATTAACAAATAAACATAAAATTAATTACATTATAACATTAATGTAATATAAAAAATATTACTGATACAATAAATTAAAACATATATTTATATATTACATATAAATTAATAAATTAACTAATAATTTAATTAATATACGTGTAAATTACAAAAATATATATTATTATATAATTTATTTATAATTATATTATTTATATTATTTGGTACATCGTCTGATTATATATATATATATTAATATATATATTATAATAAATTTTTTATTTTATTTTCTAATCATTTTTTATAAGTTTTTATTTTTTAATAAAATATAATTTATATTTAAGCAATTTTTATTTATTATAAATATAAAAAATTAAAACATAATATATAATATAATAATTGAATATTAATAATAATAAAATTTAAAATATGAAAAATTTATTAAAAAATATTAATATTTTAATTTTAAATTTTAATTCGTTTAGTTTTGATCGTATCTTATTCTTCTTCAGTTTCTTTAAATATAACAAATATAATAATTTATGATTAAATAAATTTATTTTTTAAACACGTTTAATCGTGTATAAATCTTTTTAGTTTCGAATATAATATAATTTTTATTTATTATAAATAAAAATTATAACATAATATATTAATATAATAATTAAATATTAAAATAAAATTAAGAATATAAAAAATAAATTAATATAATATTCTTTTTTTACTTTTAAATATTAGTTTCTTTAATTTTGATTGTATTCTAATCTTATTCAGAGAATTTGTTGCTCTTCATGTTCAAACAAATATAATAATTTACCTTATATTTATATTCAAAGTAACTATAGATAATAATAAAACAATAATAAAAAAATAAGTATGATAGCAGTTTTGGTTGTGTTAGGTTTGTAATTTGTTGTGATGTAGTAAATACAATCAACAAAATTTTTTATTATAAATTTTATACCAATAAAATTGCTTAAGAAAAGATAAAAAAAAAAAAAAATTTGTATAATATTAAAAATTTATAATGACTATTGTTATTGAATAATATTAATAAAAATATAATTATTTTATGACAGTTTTAAATTTTCATATTAATAGTTTCCTTTAAATTTATTATTAGAAACTATTAATTGATATCCGATTAATGAAAAATAGTGGATTAAATAAATAAATTTTATTATTACTTTAACTTTTATATTTAATAAGAATATTCTTCTCTTTTAATTGATATAAGATTTATTTTTGTATTCAATAAAATTATTCTTCTCTTTTACTTCCTATTTAAATCTTAATTAAAATTTTAAAATATTCAAAGTATATAAAAAGTCATCAACTGTTAGGCGGCCGACCTTTCCATCCCTAATTGAGGTCTCCATGCAGTGATAATAAATTGGTTTTGAATTTTGTAATAGTTGTATTGTTTATGTCTTCTAAACTCATTCCATTTTTTTACACTTTAAAAATTTTATTATCTTAACTTATTATTAATATTTTATAAAATTAATGAATTTTTTTCATATATATATATATATATATATATATATATATATCTTTATCTTTATATGTATAAAAGTATATGAGTTTTTGAGAAAAATTTGTAATGAATTTTGAAAAAAAAAAAAATTCTTCACTCTTTAACATAATAATCTTTATATAATAATTAATAATTACTATTTAAGGTCATCTTGAATCCTTTAATTCAAATCAATTAAATCCATGCATTTCTAATTGACAGTTTTGATATATTTTTACCTTTAAGACCGTCTTGAATGGTTTAATTCAAATCAGTTAAATACATTTATTTCTAATTAGCATTTTTTATATATTCAAAAGGTGCATCATTTGCAGCAGATTTGAACCTTAATATTAATGTTTATTATAAATTTTATTATTAGAAATTAATAAATGATAAAATTACATAAAACTCTTGAACTTTAAATTAAGTTTACTATAAAAAAAAAAAACTTCAAGTGAGAAAGAATTTGTATTTTATCAGGTATATATATAAGGAAAAGTACACGTTATTTGTTCGAAATAAAATTTTAAACTAAAATTCTTACAAAATGGCGCCTACTAATTTAGTGCTTTTTGAAATATGACCTGGGAAGGTGGATTGAAAGATAATGGTTCAGATCATTAATTTGTAGTTCTCTCATGAGTTTCGAACTAAAACTCAAGTCAATAGCATGAACATGATTTTAGTTGATGAAAAGGTGAAGCTTTTATATTTCTTTAGTCAAAGTGCATAAAATTTATTTTTTATTTAATTTATTTAATTCCTTCATGTTCTCTCATTATTTCGGAGTTTAAGGATTCATTGTACTGTTAAGAAGGATATTATATCAAGTTACAAAAAATTATTCCATGAAAGCAATGTGTATATCATAGAAAATTTTATGGTAATTACTCCTGAAAGGAAGACGTGAACCATTAAACACAAATAGAAATTAAATTTGATGACAACCACTAGAGTTTCAGAAGTCAAATGTGACAACATATCTTTTAACTGTTTCAATTTTGTTCCATTCTAAAATTTTTTAAGTAAGATAGATGAACTATATCTAATTGGTGAGTTTTATTTTTTTTAATTTTAATCGCTTTCATATTTATCCATGTATACTACTTTGTTATTTTAAAATGATGTTTAACACATGTTCAATTATATGTCATTGGTCATGTAGTTAAGAAAAATAATTTCAAAGATGTAGAAAAAAATAGAAAGAAAAGTAAACATATTAATTTGATTCTCGAAAATTTAGAGTGGGTATTATTTTATAACATATTTTATTAGGTAAAATATTTTATAACATATTTTAATAGGTTATATTATATTAAATTTGTTTCATATGAATCAAAGAATTGTTTGCACTTTATGGCCTATGGGAGGAGTTTGTTGATCAAATGGTTAATTTTTTAAATAATGAAAATTCAAATGCTTTACCCATTGTGATTATTCAATTATGTAAAATGAAAATATTTGGTGGTATAATTCTTTATCTCTATATTAAACTTTGTTTAATTGTGTGATAATTATTATTATCAATAAATTATATTTCATGATTGTTTCAGGAACTTTAAGCATATCAAATGCTTATAATGAAACAAAGTTGTATATCAATTCTAACATAAAATAGACTATTAATTATAAGAATAAGTAAGTATTTTAATTATTTTTTATTTATAGAGACATCATTATGTTTTGCATGATGTTTCGTATTTTTGTTAACTTATAAGCTATCCAATTTGTAGTATAGGATGAATATGAATGATGCAGGTATAAGTCAAGTATTAAGTCTGTCTAGATACTCTTCTGTTTTTAATGGAAGATGATTTGCTCAAAGCTCAAAATATGACCATACATGAAATAATTGAGACAAATTATGTATGTTTTGTATTGAAATAATGAAATGTAATGCATATAATTATAATTAATTAATTTATGTATTTGAAAGGTCATACAACAATGGAATAGTAAGAATCAATATTAATTTAGTATTTGTAACTTTAATATTAATATATTAATATATTTATTCTTGCAAAGTTTATGACAGTTATAAATTTTCATATTAATGGTTTTCTTTAAATTTATTATTGAAAACTATTAATTGGTGTCTAATTAATGAATAATAGTGGATTAAATGAATAAATTTTATTATTACTTTAACTTTTATATTCAATAAGATTATTCTTCTCTTTTACTTGATATAAGATTTATTTTTGTAATCAGTAAAATTATTCTTCTCTTTTACTTTTTATTTAAATTTTAATTGAAATTCTAAAACATATAAAGTATATAAAAATTTGCATATGAAAATATATTTATTATTTTTTTAATCTATTTATATTTGATATTATTCAATATAATATAATTTTATTATTATATAATTTTATATTTAAATTATAATTTATTATATTAATATATACTAATATACAATATAAATAAATTGTTGTGACATATAAATATATTTACTAATTTATTATTAAATTATTATTAATAACATTTATAATGTTTAAAGTTACATATAAGTTATTTTTAACTCTTATATTTATTTTTTATAGATAATTTATTTTAAAAAATAATCAAAATTTTCATTTGATATTTTTTATCTTTCTGTTATATTAAAAATAATTAATTTTATATTTAAATTATAATTATTTTAAAACTAATATATATATATATATGATTTAATAGTAAAAAGTTAAATTATAATACATTACTATAGTTTTAGAAACATAAAATAGGCTTATTCAATAAAAGATTTAATATTTTTTATCTTTAAATTGTGCAGTATATAATTTTATAATATAAAATAAAACATATAATTTTATTTCTTCAATAATTTTTATCTTAAAAAATTTTAAATATAGTAAAATTTACTTTGTTTATTATAGATCCTTATATTGTTGTATATATATATATGTTAAATTATTACAAATTAATTATAAGAGTATTTTTAAATTTATTAGAATTAAATTTATAATCTTATAAATTCAAATTATATTTAAATTTAATTCTTTTACTTTAAAGTTAATTTATAAATCTTTATATAATATATGAAATCATTTTATTAGTAATAATATTAATATATATTAATTAATTTTAAATTTTAAAATAATTTAAATATTATCATAAATATTTTATATAAATATTTTTTATTTTATAAATATTAATTATAATATTATATTATAACATAATAATTTATCCGTCTATTTCAGAGTCACTTTCCTAGTATATATAAATTTTGTAGACATGTTAATGGGCAAAGAAAAGGTATAAATAAGGATAAAATCAATTAATGTTTTATATTTAATGAAATAATAAATTTACTTTTTTTCAAATGACAAATAAAACGGTGAATTAATGATAATGAATAGCTTATTTAAATTCATTTATTTATACGCTCACTTTTCTAAGAGATTGAAAAAAAACAAAAAGAGAGAGAGAGAGAGAAACTAGAGGTGGTTACACCATTTTCAGTCCATAAATATCTCAATTTGAGGACGGCAACATAGGGCACTGATAACAAAGGAAGAAGAAAAACAGTTCTTGAGATCAGCAATCATTCTTTATAAGATATGATAACAGCAAAGCCTCATGCAGTCCTTCTGGCCAGCCCTGGCATGGGTCACCTGATTCCGATGCTGGAGCTAGCCAAACGCCTTCTCACTTACCATTCATTCAACGTAACCATCTTCGTCGTCACCACCGATTCCTCAACCACAACCTCTCACATACTCCAACAAACATCCAACTTAAGCTCCCTCAACGTTGTCGTAATGCCTCCCATTGACGTCTCTACCAAACTCCGACCCAACCCCTCGTTAGGAGAGCGTATTGTGTTAACCATGTTGGAGTCTCTACCCTTTCTACGCTCTTCCTTTGTATCCATGAAGCTTCCTCCCTCAGCTCTCATTGTGGACATTTTCGGTACTGTAGCTTTTCCCATGGCACGTGACCTCGGCATGTTGACGTACGTTTTCTTCGCCACCAACGCGTGGTTCACAGCTGTGTCCATATACCTCCCCTTCATCGACAAGGAAATGGAAGAAAGACATGCTAAGGCTCGCGAACCGCTCTTGGTTCCGGGTTGCAAACCGGTTCGGTTCGAGGACACTCTCGAAGCGTTTTTATCACCGGGTGGGCCCATATACGAGGGTTACGTGGGAGCAATGAAGCAGGTTGCATCCGCTGACGGGATTTTGATGAACACCTGTGAAGATCTGGAGCCCGCAGCAACCAAGGCGGTGAGAGAAGAAAAGATTTTGGGCCGGTTTACGAAAGGACCGGTTTATCCGGTTGGACCGCTAGTGAGAACCGTGGGACCGAAACCGGAGAATGAAATTTTGCGTTGGCTGGACGGGCAACCGGCTGAGTCGGTGATTTATGTGTCTTTTGGGAGTGGTGGGACCATGTCGGAGAGTCAAATGAGGGAGCTGGCATGGGGGTTAGAGCTGAGTCAGCAAAGGTTTGTTTGGGTGGCGAGGGAACCAAAGGAAGGTGACGCGAGTGGCGCGTTTTTCGAGGTGGCGAAGGTGCGCGACGGAACGATGCGCTTCTTGCCGGAGGGGTTTGTTAAGAGAGCAAAGGGCGTGGGGGTTGTGGTCCCCATGTGGGCCCCGCAGGCTGAGATTCTGGGACATCCTGCGACGGGTGGTTTTGTCACGCATTGTGGTTGGAATTCCGTTTTGGAAAGCATTGTGAACGGAATCCCGATGGTGGCGTGGCCGCTTTATGCGGAGCAGAAGATGAACGCTTTTATGTTGTCGGAGGAGCTTGGTGTGGCGGTGAGAGTGAAGGGTGGAGAAGCAATTGTGTGTAGGGAGAAGATAGCAGAACTGGTTAGAGGAGTGATGGTGGGTGACGAAGGGGTTGCCATGAGGAGAAAAGTTAAGGATGTGAAACTTGGTGGAGAGAGAGCGTTGTCTATGTTCGGTTCTTCTTACCATTCTCTGTGTGAAATGAGCAAAGACTGTGAACTTCATCTGCAGGCAAAAGTTTCGGGTGATTATTGCTTAGGAGATAAGAATGATGATGTGTTCAGCGAATTAGTTTGCTCTTGAACCCCTCTTTCTTTTTCTTAATTATCTGCTGTAGTTTGTGGTGTTTAAAAATGGTTACAGACTTTATATCAAACCCAGTTAATCTAATCTTAAATTGTTAGGACATGACGTTGATTTTGAAGTGAAAGCTCGTATGTTTGCGTAAATAACCACCCCTTTTATGAGCTAATTAACATGAATCCATTGTTGTTAGTTTTAAACAACTTGGTTCAAGTTTTAACATGAATCCATTGTTGTTACCACACAGTCCTAAAAAGCTGCTCAAGTTTTAATTTAATAATTCAAATATATTTATTTATATATTGATAAGTATTTTTAGTTATGAAACAAATATTTAAAAATACAAAAAAACCTTTATTGCTAACTTTCGGCGTCCTTTTCAAAAGAGTTCACATAGAGCCAGTTGGAGAATCCAAATAATACTCATCAAGTTGTGACTGTGACAGTGACAGTGACAGTGGGAAATTTCCAGTTCAACGGCTCGATCAATCAAATCGAAGTAAGATGGTGAAATAGGTTGACCCATCCCCTGTGTTGACCGATGAATGCCATTCTTCTTTATATCTATCGTCTATGAAGGCAATAAATCTTACCCTCTTTGATTCCCTGAGGAATATGCGTGCCAGGAATAAGTGATTTCTTTTCTTCTAAATATTTAATATATTGTATTAATTATGACTCAAATAATTAAGCTGAAACAATTTTTGTAAATTTTCATCAATTTTGACAGTACTTACAGGAATATGTTAAAATGCATAAATTTAATGTACAAATTACTATAAATAATATTAAATTATTCATGGTTATTTAAACTTGAAGTATACACTGAATTTGTGTGATTTATTATGAATATTTTGCATTAACCCGAAAGTAAGAGTTTCTTTTTCCTTTTTTTGTCTAAGAGAAAACGTTAAATAGTAGTTCTCACACGACTAAGCCCAACAAGATACTAAACCAACCGAAAGAAGGGAACGTCTTTCAAAAAGTGGCAATAGAATTTATGCTCAAATTTATTTTAATAACAATCTATCTATTTTAACATTAAATTGTAGTTTATCCGTGATTTAACGTGATTTTGTAACTTTTTAAAATATGCACTGAATAGGATATTTAAAGGATTCTTATATGTAAGTTAATTTTTGTTAAATATATATAGTATTTATTTTTAATAATATAATTAATAATTTTTTTAAAAAAAGTCTGACAAAGATGATAGATTTTACTAAGCTGGGGAACATTTACTTTTGGATGCATCCGTGCCTTTGTACGAGTAACAGTTGAATTAGAAGAAAATAAATAGTTATTATTACAGTTTTTTTTAAATATCCTTTTATATATAGTATTTAAAATTTATATATATTGAAATATGTTTTTTAAAAAAATTCAGAAATATGAGATTTAGAAATTATACAATTTTTAGAATAAATATAAAAGTTTAAAAATAAAAAAATAATAAAGTCTTAAAAATCGTCAATAATGATTTAAAAATATTAACAAATTAAAAAAAATTCAAATTTGTCAACAACAATTTTTAAATAATAATAAAATATTTAAAAATTATAAAAAAAGCAGTCAAAAGTTATTATTGGTAATTTTTAGTCAAAAATTGCTAATAACAAAAAAGTTATATTTATGTAATTTTACCAAAAATATCATATTTCTGTAATTTTAAAAAAAATCATATAAACAGAAGAACCATCCTTTTAATGTGCATATAAAGATATATAACTAAATAATAAATTTCTATAAAAAATAAAATATTTTATATTTTTATGTAAATTTTAATACATTGAATTGTATACATATTTTTAACAAATATTTTAATATATATTTTATTATATCTTCGAATATGTTAAAAAAATTATTATTATTAATATTGTGAGTGTTTAAACTAACGATTATTCAAGCAAAATGCATATAAATTAATGCTCCTAAACCGGAACGATTTATGAACACCAAAGATATTAATAAAATAAATACATATCCTTTATTTTATTTAGATCCACCGATTACTAATGTAAGCTGTAAAGATGCACTCAAATTTATATAATGGATTTTTCAAATAAAAAAAAAAAACATCAAATAAATAAAGAGGCCTGCTACAAGTAATTGACATTTCCAACTCATCAGAAACAAAATACAATAAGGGAAAATAATGGGCCTACCATGTGTTTCCAGCCACATAGATACAAAATATTATTATTTGTTTTAAATTCAAATAAAATCCAACGTTACTTGTGTAAATAAGGCATGGATGCATGCATTTAACGTCCCAAACTTATACACAGCATGTTAGAATTGAGCGACAAGCATATATGTGAATATTTATTAAAGCAACAAAATGGTAACATTCCCATTTGAGGCAGACAGTTGTGTACGAGTGTCTCGGTGCTCAAAGAAGGATTCTCTTGATTAAATACTGATCATTAACGTGTAGGAAAGAAAATAGATTAGGTTTATATTAGATTTTATTATAAATTATTTTTTTTTAATTTATTAATCTTTTTAATAGTCTATTTTTTTGTATTAAAACTTTTAATATTTTTTTTATAGATATGTTATTAATTAAATTTAATTATGATTGATTATTTTGTTAACTTCAAAATAAAAAAAGAAAAAAAGTTATATATAATTTAAATAAGTACGAAAAAGATGATGGGTAAAAGAACCAACAATAGAGATAATTGAAATAATTGAAATAATTCAAATATAAATCAATTAACAAATTAAATAAGAATAACGCAAAAAATTCTAATAAACATGACTTTCTTTTAGAGAATATATAGTAGAGACACTTTTTAATTCTAATAAAAAAGATTAAAATTTTTAATTTAAAATTTTATTTATTTTAATATTTTATTTATTTAAAATAATATTATAATTTTATTATAAAATTATTTAAAATAATATTATAATTTTATTATAAAATTATTTAATATATTATTATAAATTTTAAATAAGTCATTCTAATAAATTTAATATACTTAAACTTAAATCTAACTTATTCAATTAATTAAATTTTAAAAATTAAAACTATTACTTAAATAAGTCAAGCTGAGTTAAACTTTAAAAATACAAGTCATAAGCTTTTGTAAAATATTTTGGCCTATTTCTATCTTTAATCACCTTCTTATCATTTGTTTTGAGTTATTTTAAGAGTAAATAATTTTATTTTGAATATACTAATATAATTAAAATATTATATTAAAATTATATTATTTTTTTATAGATAAAATTTTATTGATCTATTTAGGATGATGTTATTTTTCTAACACTTTTATTAATTTTAAATAATTATATAATTAATTTTATTAAAAGATTCTAACTCAATTTAATTAATTATAAACTATATAAATTTTTAATTAAAAACTTCCACTCTAATATTTTTGCTAACTTTGATCCCTCATCTTGGTTCCTTGCACAGGCACCGCTATGATCACCTATGGAATAAGCAAACTCCCCTAACTTTTATAAAGTTAACTGATAGATTTGCAAGAATTTTTTTAATACAAAAATCATTAAAATTCCTATAATAATATCCAAACAAAATTTAATTATATATTTATAATAAAGATTCATCAAAAAGCGTCAGAAACTAGATTCCTCTGGTAGCATTACCTGTGAGAGTTTTATCCAGGAGGGAGGAGAAAGGAAGGATTACCTTTTATTTGAGAATTGTTTAATTAGAAAAAAGTTTTGAAATTTTTATTAAAATTTTCAAAAAATTAAGAAAAGAATTTAAAAAATAATTTTTTAAATTCTTCAAATGTTAATTTTTTTAAGTGATGACTTTTTTAAAAAATTTATGAAAACTAAAAATATTAATTTTAAAAAAATATATAAGTAAAATATATAAAATGTATATTATTAATATAATTAAATTTCATCATCCTCTCTTTTTCTCTGTGACAATAAACATTTAAACAAGAAAATAGTTTAACTTCTCCGCCTTTTCCTTTCGACCCTCCCCTCCATAGTCCTAAGTTCAATCAAAAGCTGTGTCTAGTAACATTGTTGAAGCTGGGTTCCCTGGTTCACCTAGTCGGTCCACTTGTATGCTTCTAACAATAATAGGTTCACCGGATCACTGTTGGAATTGGGTTGAGAGTGATTACAAGGTTGCGTCTTCATTTTCAACATACTCGTTGCAACTAGGTTCAAGCCGTGACGTTGGGTGCAAATCTAAAGTCAAGTTTGTGCAACTGTTAAGTTGATGGTTGAAGTATTAGACAACAAAAAAAAGGGTTCAAGTCGTACGTTCAAACTTCATGATGTTGCATTGTGGGCTTTTGAAAAGCGACAAATCCGTCATTTTGAGCTTTTCTAGAAGGAAGAATATGGTCATAGCGTTTAATTGACCTCAAATTTGCAACTTTATGTACTTTACCTGACTGTGCTGGACTTAACTCATGCTACATGCAGACGTGTTTCCAAACAAGTTGACTTTGGAAACATGCCTGGGAAGAATAACTGAGGAAATGCTACGCCATGACATAACTATGCATTAAAAATAATTTTTTGCCTCAAATAATAAAATCTCTCTTAATTAGTAACAATTTTTTATTGTTTTTTTTCGTCAACATATAATCCCATTATATATAAATTATTGCTCATATATTTAACAAAAATAAATTAAAATAATCAAAATTCTAATAGTTACAAATGTTAATTATATTGTATAGTAATATAATCAATAACTTTTAAAATATACTATAATCTTAATGAATTATATTTAATTAATTTAAAATTTTTGGTTTGAAATTTGCTTTAAGCCTATCCAATGTTACGTTGGGCCCGCCCTAAAAATGACGTCAAACAAGAAAATATCTTCAAATACTATACCGTTTCCACTGAACGTAGTTCATCATTTTTAAGTATACATCATATTTATAATAAAAAATTAATAGCAATACACTTTTAACCACTGTCCTCAAAACATTTCAGGTGAAGAGTCAATTTTCAAAAAAAGTATTTGCACATAAATTAATCACTTTGAAACATTATTTAAACATTTTAAAAATTATTTTAACCTTTTAAAAATCTGACCAATTAAGAGGTGTGTTGCTTACCTTCCTATTCACAGTACTGGGAAAAAGAAATGAGATGATGCCGAGCAGATAGCCAATTTAACACCGAACACCTAAAACGAGGAACATAATATTGATATATTCTACATACTTAAATTTGAAATACCCATCCCAAGGACACCTAAAATCTATATTACGATAAATAATATTGAATACTGAAGACAGTACATAAATTACGCTGAAGCAACTTGAGTTAGTAACTTCTTGACTCCAAACACAGATCACATACCTACAGCTACAGGTTCAGTGGCTTTCTTCAGCCATGCATTTTCAACTTCATCCAAATATGGCCCCAGAATATCTCTGCATGTGGAGTGATAGGAGTTCAGCCAATTTCTCTCATCAGGACTTAGAAGGTTCAGGTCAATCAGCTTCGTTTGATATGGTGCCTGGATGAGAAACATCAAGCACTTGTGAAATGCCATAAAAAATAGTATTCAATTGTCATTGAGCCACAGTTGAATGTTTTAAAAAGCACTTCGTAAGCAAGGTAAATTCTCTAATTTTAAACGTAGTATAATACACCAACAAAGGTCATAAGTTATGAGCCTAAAACAGGTAATAATATGAGTGCGTATAGTGTTTACTACTAACACCTTGAAAAATCTAAACACGGTAACATCATTGATGAAGTGTATGCCGTTTCATTAAACTTTAAAGTTGGCTAAGCAATTTAAATTTAAAAGGAAAATGAAAATATGTTGCAGAATTCTATACTTTAAAATAAATTTGATATAAATAATGTAATACAATAAATCATAAAAGGATATTTCTAGTTATAAACATCTTAAAATTCAACAATAATAAACTCTTATCTCTTTAGGTAAAGTCTGCTACATAGATAACATGACACTATTAAATTCAGTCAAAAACTAAATTCTTAAAAAATATTATTTATCAATAAATTTCTTTTAATAACTCACTTTAAAATTCTTCTAAATCTCTTTTTACCTGACTACAAACATCTTAAAATAATAATTAAAAGAAAAAACTGCTTCAAAGCCATTAATTAGTGACTAATGTTAGTTCAGTTGGCTTACAACAAAATAAACACAGATGAATTATTACCCTTGGACTAATGATGAACTATATAATTCAGTGAAGTAACAAAAAAAAAATTACATATTTCAAAATCATTCCACAGGAATGAACAGAAACTAATACACATATGAGGACTTACCCAGGTAATGTGCTCAAAAGATAAGTAACCTTTATCACCAAAATTGAATTTTGTATCAGCCTCCTTGACAATAAGCACATTCTCCAATCTTATCCCAAACTGTCCATCCTCATAGTAACCAGGTTCTGAAAAAATCATTTCAATGCATAATATATAACAAATGCATTTAAGTATAATCGAACAATAGCGGTCTTTGAAATGTCAAGTAGATAAATTGGACATGATTCAGAACAACCAAATACAAAATTAATAATAAAAGACAAATAACGTGGAAATTGCAATTGCATGGTCTACTTTGTCATTGTGATACTAACCATCTGTAACAGTCATCGAAGATTGCAATGGTACGCTTCGGGCCTGTGGTCTGAAACTGATTAAGTGAGGTCCTGCACAATTTATAAGACATTAATTTTTATTCTCATTTTGTATTTACTTCAGGAAAATGTACAAGACTGGACTACAGAATCAAAATAAGCAATAAGAAAATAATGATAGTTCTTCAATACCTTCATGAACATTCAGATAGGACCCAATACCATGACCAGTACCATGTCGATAATCAAGACCATCCTTCCACAAAGGAATTCGAGCAAGAATATCAAGAGCATGACCTGAAAGTAATGGAAAGAAAGAGGAAAAAGTAGCCAAGTTCAATGGGAGATATGGTGACTAGCCGCATCGTATTCACAGAAATTGACACACAAAATGGTCTCTTTTGTTATACCGTTTGTGCCGTTTGGAAATCTAGCATTTCCAAGAGCAATGTGACCCTTTAGGACCTGCACAAAGTGGATAACAGAGTATGATTATCTATGTTTAGGTCACTGATTAATAACCTACCAGATTTACTTGTGTTTATAATATTAAATAATAATAAAGCATTTCCCTTCGCAAAATATCTATCAGAAAAAGAATAATTTTGAAATTTGTTCCTGTTATCAGTCCCACTTCCCATCAAGGGAAATAATCTTGCATATTAAATGAAGGCTAAATTTAAAAATTGGACACTTTTTATTTTGGTCCCTTTATAAAAAAAATAACCCTCTATATTTGGGAATGTTAATCAACTCAATAAACATCTAACACCGTCATCACTTGGCAAACGATAGAGATTGATCTGTATAACACTTTTCATATAGGGACTAAAAGGAAAAAATAAGAAAAATTACGGAGAGAAAATTACTAGTTTAACCTTAAATGGTTCATAGAATAGTTATGAAATTACATAACTAGTAAAAACAGCAAATATGAAATTACATAACTAGTAAAAACAGCAAATAAAGGCACTTACTGCTGTATAACATGCTTTTTCATGAGCTGAAGGTTTCCCAAAATGAACTGTTCGTGTAATATCAGTTGTTCCATCTAGATACTTCAAAGACACCACCAGTTATCAATACATAGAGGTGGAGATCATGGTTGCAAAACATGAAAACAACAAAATTCACTGATAAAAACATTTTCTGCAGACTTCAGCAAATGTCTGCTGCAAAGTGCAAACTGTTAAAATATTACACAGACCTGGGCTCCAGAATCAAACAGATAAATTTTGTCAGGATCAAGTTCGGCACATGTTTCTGTATTTGGAGAATAATGAATGATAGCTGCATTGGGGCCAACTGAGGAAATAGTAGGGAAACTCAATCCTCTGAAATGCTGAAAAGGAGGAGGAAAACTTACAATAATTTCAGCAAACATAAACTTTCAGGCATTCATATTCCATTGAAGTTTTTATAAGTAAAACAAAAAACAAAAAATTTGCTCATTATTTTCATTCCCTTCAAATTCGTAACTTTATATGCTAAAGCAAATGCAGTCAATTATGGTAGCAAAACCAAGTTGCAAAAGTAAAATTTGATTCCTTATTAACGTGTGACTCCTACATGTTATGTACCAAAACAGGTCATAACATTTTAAGTGCACCTTAAATCCAGAATGTGCAGAAATACTGTAAGCAACATCTGAAAAGGTCAGTCACAGAGCATAGAATGGGCTGATCAGATTCTAGGGTGACCATCTGACCATAGAGCATAATAAGTCCAACGGAGAACAAAATATTGAAAATGTATCAAGGATAAGGGAGATGGAAATTTTTAAGTTGGAACTCCAGGAACGACACGTGACCCTACTGATGAATCTTAAAAAATCTTATTCGAATCTAGTAGCAGAAGAAGGACAAAGTTGGGCTAATTTAGTTTTTCCATAAAAAATTAAGGGACTGTTTGATTTGAAATATATTTTGTTTTTACTTTTAATTACAAAAATATCTTATTTTCATTTTAATTGTTTTCAACATTTCCAATACAATATTTGAAAATAGAAAACACAATGAAAACAAGGTGACATTTTTATAATTAAAAGTAAAAATAGAAAATGAAAACAAAAAGTATTTCTTGAAACCAAACTGTCCAAATGATCTTCAATTTTTTTTTTATAAAAAAAATCTACCTACATTACAGTGATGCTGCCTCTGGTTCAAAATATCTGATAATTACATACTGTGTTCTTATCAAAAGTGCTTTTTCTATAAAGAAGATTGAAAAAAATTCCAGCCTTCTGGGAAAGTTGAAAATAGTTTTTCTCTACTGCTTATTTCAAAATCCAAAATCTTTGGTATTTCTCCCTGTTTTTTCTTGAACTAAAACCTTTGCCTAAGAAAAGCTTATCCAAATAAATACTTAATTGTTTTGTTAGCTCCACCTCTTTTGATGCTCGAAAACCTTCAAGTTTGTCACTTACAGTCACCTCAGTCAATTTCAAGCACTCCCTGCCAAAGTTTTAAAAGAATTCTATAAGTATACCATGTGATCTAACTTTATAATGATGCATATGGAGCTAATTACTGTGAAAGATATGCTCAGACTCTAAAGTGTAAAATTGTCAGTAATCATAAAAAACATCACTGTTACTTACCAAAGATTAAAATAATTCTTATTTCACCTTCACAACATTCTGATAAAGGATATGTTAATTTTTTCAAAAACTTTATAAAGGGGACTTTCATCTCAATGTCATGATTTCCCCTGTTAACAAATAAAACTAACTTGCCAACTTTTTCTCAATTTCCACAAAGGTATATTATAATAAGCATGTCAGAGTTCAGGCCAGGTTAAATTTGAGAAGAAACCTACAGATGTTCCTTCTTTTTCACAGAATTCTTCTCCAAAAAGTAACCAGATGCTCCATAAATATCCTGCATCTGCACATTGAACCAAACTTTTTGCATCATTTTACACTAAAAAATATATTGCATTTTTCAGTGACTTAAAATAAAATGAAAAACAAAAATATAAAAATTTAGAGAGGAGAATGAAAAATATGGTTGTCCTCCAAAAAATAAACATATTCTAGAGACACAAGATCCAAATGCAAACCTTCTTATCCAGCCACACAAGATATTGAACAACTGCTGCACCATCCCGAATATGTGCCTTTCTTAACCCATCCAATTCCACCGAGTTCTAAAAGTATTGGAGTAACAAAAGAAATAAACAAAGTTTCAAGTAATGAAATAGGGGGAAAAATCAAAGATATGAATAATTTTTCACTAAATTAACTGCTAATACTTATTTTTCTCCATTTCCTTTTAAAATAATAAATCAAGGGGATATCAAAATCTGTTTGTTATTCTGGAACAATCATCCATACAAGCATGGGTTTGAGAAAGCTCAATACTAACTTCTGTGCTGCACCAAAAATCAAATGACCTTTATAAAGTAAAAGGGAGTACAAGCATATAACCTTTAAAGCTTTTGCAAGGGCCAAAGGTGACTGCAGCAAGAGAACTGTTTCAGGCTTCAATTTTGCATACAGTGCATAACAGCATGAACCTGGATCAGCCCATACGAGATTCTGACTATTTTCTTCTGTTTGATGTTCACCATTTACACGCTTATTAGTTTCACTGGGAACTTTTTCAGCCTCCATTGTAACTTCCGCTAAAGCAACCTTGGCAGTAGACACAGCATCAAGCTCATCAGTTGCTAGCAATGCCACATCACAGCTTACTGCCATATACTCTCGAATTTCAATTCCATTCTCCTCTAAATGAGTTTTTACCTGGCACAAAACACACTTTTCAATGAGTTTCATTTCATATCTCCAAATTCGGCCCTCTCAATATCAGCATGAAGAACATGAACCAAAGTAATACTCTATCAAAAGATCTTTCTTAACATTCCAAAGTAAATAAACTTTGATTTAACTTGACCATGAAATAATTCATTGGTTTGGATTATTATTCTATATGCATAAATAAGGTGTTAAATATATACAAATATGCTATTTAGGAAAATAGTATCCATATAATTATAGTAATTTAGTACCATATATTTGCTCCTGATTATGTAGTTATAATTATGATTACCTTTATTAATATAAATATACAGCTTGTGGTGTAGTTGAAAATATATGGAATTCACAACATGCTTTTCTCGTTTTCTCTCATCTTTAACATAAGGAAAATAATTTTTATCATATTTTTAAACAATATATATGTAGTAATTTGATATAATATACTTATATAATTAGTATATTGTTCACAGCCATGTAAAAAATTATCTGGAACATTGTTATTACAATTTTGTAAGCCAGAAATTCACATCATTTGATGAATTGCAGATGACTTTTAATCATCCAATAAATGGATGCATAGGTGCTGTTCTGTATCAAAGATACAAATCATACAATTTAAAAATTCTTTTTTTCTCTTGTGCTTTTCTTTCATCAAATATCGTCAAAGAAGTTGAAAAGTCAGATAAGCTTACATAATTTAATGAAGAGAATATGAAGGAGAACTATCGTCTGCACCCTTTGATTATTCCACTACTTTAATTTCATTCTTCTAAAACACGGGCTTCACATAATTACTCACTCATTCTATACAATCAATTTAGCTGTTCAATTGCTTTGTTGTTCTTTTGAAATTGAGGCTTCACACACTTAGTTATGACTTATGACTTTGTGTTGTGAGACTTATCGTTGGGTTATATTGTCAATTTCTAGTTAAAAATTGTTAGATTGGGCTCTATAAATCTTTTATAAGATATAATTCAAGCTATTTTTCATTGTATCTTTCAATCTTAAGATTCAATAATTCACAATTAAAAAATTAGCTTGACAATTCACAGATTAACTTGCAATTTGATAACCTCAATCTGGAAAAAATTCATGCTGATGAGACATTACTCAAACTGACCTCAACAGAAACCTTTTGCTTGTCCACATAAATGAAAGCAGAATTGGATGTCACAATAGCAAATGCATGAACAACAGGACAGTATGCCACATCACTTCCACGAATATTATACAACCATGCAACCTGTAATGTAGCCACATCATTGGAAACAAAATGAAAAAGAAAATAATCCTAAAAAGGATGAACAATTGGGGCAGAAAATATCCTCAAACTCAGGCAACATTTGTCATGGTAAAAGAAACATAAAAGGAAGAGTTATCAAGAGGATGCGGTTACTTCATCAAGTGCTGTGAAAATTATCCCTCGGGCTTGGTCCTGTACAAGCTTTTTTCTCAAATCTTTCAACTTATTTGCAACAGATCGACCTGCAAATTTCAATGGATGTACAATAACAGCATTAATCTCTGCTGGTGGGCGATTTATCCATACTTCATCTACCAAATTTTTTGTCGTTTGAACCAGCCTCTGCTGTTTTCCGGCAAATGCACGCTCCCATCTCTGGGCAGTATCAATTGAAATGCACCAAGGGTCAACCCCTATGGATGCATCTTTTCGCAAGTTCTAGTGAAATGAAATGACTTGTTAGTACAGATATCCCACAGTCAAATTACAATAGTCTTATAATGGGACGTGAATAGAAAATGGACCACTTGGGCAGTTCATGGATATAGCAAGACTAATCCAGTATATTGTCCTCATTCATAAAAAGTAAGTTTAGACTTATGCTTTATTTACATGATACTTTTTTATTAATTTCTAACAGTATTTCCTACTTTTCATTTCCATCCTATAGAGTTCGTAGGTTGTCTCTTCCCTCTGCCTATCTGTGTCTAGTTCTCTTCCAAACCCTTCTTTTATCTCTACAATTACAAATGTTAATGGTGCAAAAGCAAGGCCAAGTTCAATCAACTCTTCCTAAACAAGGGGAAGCTACTTGTGAGCAACTTATCAATAATGCAGAGATGTAGATAGAGTGATTCTTGATCCAAACTTCAATATTATGCTGTGGTAAGACAGAAGAGTTTACCATATTAAAAGGAAACCATTCCTTAAATTTGGCATTTGTCTCAATACTCAACAATTATATATATCAAAGGCCGCTATTTAAAAGTATTCAAGAGCAGGTGACTCACATCAGCCATCCAGATATCTACAGCAGGATCTTCACCAATACGCATTAGCTCCCACTGATCACTAAGTTGTTGTTCAGCCTGCAAAAAATATCGTCCATCCGTCCACAACAGTGCTTTATTCTTTGTTACAAGTGCCAAACCTGAATGTCATTTTATAAAGAAAAAAAATTAAAACCATAATGAAAAACAACACAAAAGATACTAATCTAATTTTATGAAATACACAAGACAATGGCATAGTTGTATAGCATACAACAAGTACAGCTAACTTCAACAACAATTCCACAGTCCATCTTACATCGGGGATTGGCCCGGGCATAGAATCCCCATCCAGTGACAAGCTAGCAACAAATCCTAAATCTTTTTTTCAAAATTATAGAAACAAAATATACTTCCACAGAAACCAATTATGCGTAAGCGTATCTGCTAATAGTAGGAGATAGTGAAGTGTTGAAACAATTGCAGTAAAACGAGACAACTTAATCCCTAAACTAATGGATGCTGCAATAAAAGAACAAACCAGAACGGAAAGGCATACAGGAAATTTTATCCTAGATAGAAACTTACCAGCACTTCCACTGAAGCCGGAAACGAATTCGCGGCGCTTGTCTCGTGCAGATACATATTCGCTCTGCAAAGTGCAATTAGAATCGCAGAAGAGAAATCGGATTTAAAAATAAAATAATTATCAATCAGCTTAGAGGAAAGAAATTAAAAAAACTGAAACCTTCGATCTAAGTAATATTATTAGAGTGATTAGGAAGAAAAGATGATAAACCTGATGATAATCTTCAGAAGGCACAACCAAGGCATCAAGAGGCGGAGAGTTAGAAGCCATCAAAGACCTCAACGCAGAAAGCGTGTCTTCCATTTTCTTTTTTTGTTTTGTTTTGTTCTTTTTTCTCAGTCTCGCTACTTCCAGTTTGAGTGACACAAGTAACTCTGATCGGTTTATATATAAAACGATAATCCCGTATACCTGCCGAATTCCTAGGAAACGTAAAATGTTTATGAGCTTTTCTGTTTATCTTGTTTATATTAATTTTATTTTGTTTTATTAATATCATGTTAATTATTTTATAATGTTTAAAATATATATAATTTTTTTATATATTTAATATAATATTTTTATTTTTAAATAGGGCGGCTTTGTTTGATATCAAATCTAAATAAAGAAAACAAATAATATTTGATTTTAGAGAAATAAATTTTATATTTTTATTTAACTTTTATGATATAAAAATGAAAATTGCTTCCATCGTTATGTTCTGCCTTTATTTTTCTTTATTAGATTATTTAAAAACAAAACCAAAGTTTACATATTAACCAAACGTATTTTAAGATGTGCTCAGACACAAAATGCTTATAATATTTTTGAAAATGTCAGCTTCAAATGAAGGTTTTAAAAACACTCCCCCCTTAATGTGTCTTGAACCAGTGATCCGTGTGCTCAATGAGTTGAATGCTGTGTAAAAAATTTTGGTGACAGTGATGCAGTATGTTGGAGGTTCGGTAAAAATAAAACCAATTTACTATAAGAATTTATATATAATATTTTTTTATTAAAATTTATAATTTTTAATGAAATTAAATATGTTAATACTTAAAAAATTTAAAATAAAAAATTTTCTGCAAAATTAAGAATATCAATTTAAGTCCGGTATGATGATGACTTACATAATCCACTTCAAATGGAAAACTAGGCCAAAGGTTCTTCCCCCGTCATCTCATTTAATACGCCTAAATGCAAGTTAATAAAGAGCCAATATGTTGACCCATTTTTAATTTTTTTAAAATTAAATATAATTATTTTTTAGTTAAATTTTATTTTTTATTAATTTTAAAATATTATTAAATATTTTTTTATATTTTTTATTTTATGTTAATTTTCAATGGACTGGAGGCAGGTTGGCCTAACTTTTTTTTTTTTTTTTCTTACGAGTATTGGCAGTGAAATACACAGAATATATCCAACCAAGTGAAAAACGCCAAAAGAAGGGTTAAATAGTATGAAAGTTTTTTTTTCCTGAAATAATATGAATTTTAAAAAATATACTAGAATGGTTGCTATTGGGCCTTTTACCAACTGGGCAGTTCGGAGAGAACTGTAGAAAATGATAGATTTTCCCTTCATATGTGGTTTAAGACATATATAACAACAACGACAAAAAAAAAAGGGCAGGTACCAAAAAAAAATCGACAAAAGCTAATCAAATCTATAAATTTTTATAAAAATATTTGTGAAAAATATATAAATAAAGTACTTCTTATAAGTTTAAATCAATTTATAAATTACCTATTTTGAAAAAAATAATTAAAATACTTTGAAAAAGTAAACATTATAAATTTATTTTAATTTATAAGGTGAATTTTTTCTCTCTTACAAAAGCTTCTGTGTACACTTATGGACCTATACCATGTGAAGAATAGTCCTTTTACTATATATAACTATAGATGGAGAAAGCCTAGAGTCAAAACCACTAAAGGCATATTTGGAAAGGGAGTTTCAGAGAAAAACACAATTTTTTAAAATTTAAAATTTAAAATTATATCATTTATAATGATAAATACACAATCAATATATTAAAGTTATATTAATACATCAATTTATATATTTTATTATAAAAAATGTCCACTTTAAATATTTATTTAAAATACAAAATATATTCTCCCTCTTTCCTTTATAAAACTCTCTTTTGCAAACAATTACTAAAAATAATTTAAAAGGAATTATTTATTTATTTTCTTTAATTTTTTATAAAAAATAATCATCAATATTGTCCAATTTTATTTATAATAAATAAAATTTATTTTAAATATATTAATTATTATTTTTTAATATAATTATACAATTTTTATTATGAATTTCGTGTTAATGAAATATTTAGAATCAACAAAATGAAACTCGCTCAATAAAATATAGAGCTAGAACTTTAAATATTAATTTGTTTTTTTTTTTTCTTAATACTTCATTCAATAGGCCTAATGAGAATTAAACTTGAACTTAAATGAGTTATATAGTTTATTTTGTCAACTCTAAAAGTATTACTCATAAGTGAATATATCAATCATTTAATATATAATTTATCAATTTAACAACACAGTAACTACTAATTTTGAAATATAATACTACATTTAATTCTATTTATAAAAAATAAGCAACTAATTTATAAAATCAATAAAAACAATACATATATTAAATATTAATATTATTTCAAAAATGCTCATTGTATTAAATAACTAAGTTAGTAGCTTGCATGAAAAATAAGTAGGTGCTTAATTAATATAACTTAATAATAAATTAAGGGTATAAAAGAAGATTAATAATTAACACATTTATTTTTTATAATTAGAATAAAAAAGTTTGACAATTATTTTTTTATAAACAAAATTGAAGATACAATAAAATTATATCATATTTCATATTATTTTTAATAAATTAATTACTTATATCTTATATAAAAATAAAATAAAACAGATATATTATTCATAATATACATCTAACTTGCTCTACTAAGTACAAAAATGATTTCAACTCGCTCTGATTTATGGGCTCAAGTTCTTTATCATAAATATAATTTTAGTCTTGATCAGAATTTTAGTGTTAAGAAAGTTTCCAGTTAGTCCTATTTATGAAAAAATCTAATGAGTATTTGGCTTGAATTTTTTCAAAGTCTAAGCTGGTGTGTTAGGGGTGGAATGTCTATTAAATTCTGGACTGATAATTGGATCCCCATATTGATAGATTACTTGACCATGTGGTTATTCCTAGCACTGAGCTTGAGTTGGAGGCTCCTGTTGCTTTGTTTGTTGCCTAAGGCAGCTGGGACTAGGATAAAATCTAGCACATTTCTTCCATTAACCCCCTTCTAGACTTGCAGGGCCTGATTCTGCTTTTTTGAATAGTTCCAATAATGGGTTATTTTTCCTCAAGTTTGCTTGTTATATGTTGGATAATGTTAATGTTCATCCGACTAGTAGGATTGACTTGCTCAAAATTATTTGGAAGTGAAAAGATCCTCTTAAAATTACTTTTCTTCTTTAGAAATTAGCTCATGGTAGATTATTTACTAATGATGAGTGATTTCTTAGAGGTATGGCTAAGTCTTCTTCTTGCCCTAGATATGAAGATGGGCCTCAATCTATTATGAATGTATTGTGGGATTGTTTTTCTGCTAAGAAGGTTTGGGATAATTTTATTTTCCCAAATCAGTGGGTCTCTTTTTTTAGCTCAAAAATTTTCAACTGATTATTGTCTAATTTCTTTAGTTACTGTCTAATCTCTCTAACCCTCACTACTCTTGCTTCTATAATTGGTCTATCTTGTTTGGTTGTATTATTTGGAATTTTTGGAATGCTAGAAATATTTTTGTTTTTTAGAATTGCATTTCTCAGCCTGGTAGTGTTGCCCAAAAATCTGTATATGATGCTGATTATTTTTCTTTTAATGGCAGGTTTAGTTCCACATCTTTTTTCTAACTAAGTTTCTGATTTTGGGATGGTTAGATGAACTCCTCTAAATGTGGATAGAGTTATTTCTAATTGTAATGGGGTGACTGCCTGTGGAAGGTTAATTCGAGATTGTAATGGTAGATTCTGTTTTGGATTTAGTAGAAGCTTGAGTTTTTACTCTCCTCTCCTTGCTAAGCTTTGGAGAATTTATTTTGGTATTCAGATGGTTATTTTTGCCAAAATTTAAGTAATCTGGATTGAGAGTAATTATAAGGATGCAATTGCTCTTGTGTTGAATGTCCAGCTTCCTTCCTACCCTCTATTTTCTTTACTTTGTAATATTAAAAATACTTTAAAATCTATTAGATTTGTAAGATTTGCTTATATATGTAGAGAAATAAATCAATATGCATATTTTTTAGCTAAATTAGGGCTAGATTCCCTAACTTCTTATTTTCAGATTATGGATCCTTCTACCCATCTGTTGCCTTTCTTGTATCTAAACTTTAGTATTCAGAGTTGTCCTAAACATTGTACCTAGTTTGTCTTTTATTTTAGACTTTTGAGCTCCTTTTTCTAACAAAAAAATGATTTCATCGTTAGTGGCTACATTTAATAATAAATTAGTAATATATGAACAAATTAAAAAATAATAAATTAATTATTTTTCAACTCTCTCCAATAATGTCATGGTCACAAGTCATCAAAAGGTCATGTCAAGATTAAAATAAATTTAAGAAAATATTTTATGTATCATTAGAAGTAGACATCTAAAGGTATTTTTCTTTTATATTTTTGGAGTGTATTTTTAGAACGTGTGTGTATATATATAAAGGTAAAAAAAAAAGAATAAAAATAACAGCATAAAGTATCACATACTGTATAATTTTTAATAATTCATATAATCAAACTCATAATTTTCCCAGGTCATAATACACTCATGCACAAGGCACACCAAGAAAAAAAACGGGGACAGGAAGATACACAAATAGACATTATTATTTGATGAAAATTATCAACATCTACAGATTCCGGAACAATGCAGAACCTAGAACAACATGGGAATCCCCAACCCCAACAGAATTGATAGTGGAACAGAGCTGTCATTCCTCGTCACGATGCAATGGTAAAATGCCAGAACCGATTTGACAACAAAGGAAAGGTCAAAAAATACAGACGATCAACAAGAATTGAATGAAATCAAGAAAACACCATCATGACTGGGCGAGCTTCTTGACTATAACAGCCATATACTTGCCCTGATGCTCTGCAAGTGCCAGTTCTGTTTCACTAGGCTCTCTTGTGCCATCACCTGCAAACACTCCTGCACCATATGGAGAACCCCCTCTTATGGAGTCCATCTTGAACATTCCCGGTCCAAATGTATATCCAACAGGAACAAATAGCATTCCATGGTGTGCCAGCTGAGTGATTGCTGTCCAACTGCAACAAAAAGCACAAAACTAATTATTTCATAATGCTTTTTCTAGCAGTATCATCTTAGATACCGTTCTAATTTCCACCATCAAGTGAGATAAAATCTTTCTATCTTGAAATGTAGAGAGTGTGTGATGGTCTTCGGATTTCAGACTGCAGATATGCACATCTATAAAATACACATTCAATTTTGACTTATTTGCATGTCCGCTAGACAGCTAGAGTTTCCGGTTACTGTATCAACATAGAAGAGCATACTCCAAATGAATAGGAAGAAGAGAAAACTATGTCCTCTTGCTCTACGGAAAACCTGAGGTAACTGTCTAAGACACCCGAAGAAAGCTCCCCGTAAACTGAGACCAGAAACATCACATGGATAAAGCTTTTCAGCGCTAATAATATGGCATACCAAGCAATTTACTGTGGTTTTGTAAAGATGTTCCATACACGCTATTCATCTTAAAAATGAATATACCAGACAGACAATCATTTTAAGCAATAGCAGAACATATTAGCACACACGCTCTCTCCCTCTCTTGACTAGTAGAAAATAAAAACGATGATGCAAATGTAAACCTGCAGACTTATACATATATATGCACATACATTTATGATGCCCGTGAAAATATGATGTTCTTGACAAATGACCAGCCAATTCCACAAGGTATTTTAAATTTTTATCATTACGACGATTTACAATCAAATCCAACCAATTTTTCAGACACCAAAATCCTATCGTTGATCTCATTTCGTGCAAAGGATAGCTATTGAAGTGAATTCAATTCGAAAAACAGCCTCTTTTCCACTCTTCACAATAAAATCAATGTATATGTGTTGTAGCTACTCGTTTCAAAGTTGAGAAATCAAAAAGACAAAATCTCAATATCTAGGACGCAAAACTAGCAAGTTGCAAATTGCCATCCATGAGCAATTGAAAGCTCCATACATTGTGTTAATAACATTACCATCAAGTGTTATGCTATGTTATGTTTTGCCAGTCAACAACCACACTGTAAATCTTTCAATTTTCACTGGCGAGTCTACCGGAGAATAAAAACGACTCTATTTTATGCATTTGTGTATAAAAGCAGTAAAGAATAAAAAAGTACAGGCAATCAATTAATGTCCAAACACAGCAATTTAATCGACATTGAGGCAAAACAAACTCCAAGATTACCAAATGCAGAGAGCTCTTCAAAAGCTAACACAATAAATAAATAAAAAAAAAAACCCTTACGCAGTAGTTTCTTGGCCTCCTCCTTGAGTGCCAGTGCTAACAAAGAACCCAGCAGGTTTCCCTGCAAGCTTCTGCTCCTTCCACAGCTGTCCCGTTGAGTCAAAGAAAGCCTTCATTTGCGCCGCCATCGCCCCATACCTCGTCGGAAACCCAAACAACACCCCATCGGCGTCCGGCAATTCTCCCGGAGTTATCTCCGGGATGGTATCGTCCTTCGGCGGCGCCCTCATCATGTTCAACACCTCAATCGACAATGTCTCCGGAACCCTATACAAAACCCCTTCCACGCCTTCCACACTGTCCACGCCTTTCTTCAGCCTCCTCGCAAGTCCTTCCACGTGCCCGTACATCGAATAGAACACGATGAAGATCTTCAATCTCGCACCAGCCGGAATCGAAGCCGACGCCGTTTCTTCAATTTGCGGCGCATTTGTGTGTTCGGCGTGGGCGTCCTCCTCCGCCGGGATCGGCGCGTCCCTCGACCCTCCGGCGGCTACCGGCGGAGAATCGTTGGTAACCGGCGGTGTCTTCTTCTTGCTGGGAACACAGCCTAGTCCTTTCCCCATCAAAAGCGAAGGGAAATTGGGAATGTGAAATGGGAATTGAAGAGTGCAGAGTGTGGCAACGATGCAGAATTTGGAGAACCGAAAGGGAATGAAAGAATCCGAGTAGGACTGAAAATTCAGAATTTCAGAGCTGAGAGTTCAGACTTGTTTTGAGTACATTCGAATGATTGGTGATGTCACCCTCACTCCGTTCAAATAAAGAGTGGACACGTCCACAACCTAATCTAAACGACGACGTTTTTCTACCCGCTGCGTACGACACTGTCGCTCGCTAGCTTAACGCGATCGTTTCTATTTTCTTGAATCCCACTCACATACGATACGACATGGACAAAACGCGTCACTTCATTTAAATCAATAAAAAATATCTAAAATTGTTTTGAAAGGTTGGTTTGGTTTGGTTGGTTAATGAGAAAAGGATAAACGAATTCTCATTGTAAGGCGACGATGCGTTTCATAATTTAAATTGGTTGATTGATTATTATGGATGATAAGGGAATGCCATTTACGACTTCTAGAAGGAATTGACAAATTTGATAGCCCCCAAATCCTCCACTGAAGACAACTTTGAGAAATCCACATCATTCAGCTTATAAATACGCTTCATTTTGTATGCACCAACTCTTGGGTAATGTACTGTTTACACTGTAGTATAATACAATCCGCTTTAAACCATTTTATTAGCCTTTTCTTTTTATCTAAAACACAGTTTTATAAAACATTTTTTTAGTCCAGACAGTGAGTACTTCATTCAATTTAGTCAAAATCAAGTCATAATAAGATTTATAAAAGGAAAATTAAAGAAACTATTACGAGTCAACGTTTGAAGAAGTGGTCTTAGATAAAGATCGATGGTTAAGTTTATTAATTAGGAGATAATTTTTATTTAATCTTTTATAAATATACGTGTATCATGTCGTAAGGACGTCTTTGAATAATGAAGAACATTGCTGTTTTTCACTCTCTCTTTATAATGAGAACTATTTCTCTTACTTTGATCCTCTTTCTTTTTCAATTCGATTTACTGTGAATAAAAAAATAACAGGTTAAAAATGAGAATAGCATGACAAAACTTTATTTTATTTTTTTCTAGATTAATTTAAGAGGAGATTGAAGATTTTATAAGGATTCAAGGAATTTGATATTGTTTGAAGACAAGTGATTTGAGTGTCAAACACTATTTGAAGGCATGCTGGCTGAGCTATTTGAGAGTACAAGTCTTGGTGGTATCTTTTCATGGTTTTGCTCGTTAATTGTTCGATCAAATTGTTTCTAATATTTTTTATTAAGTCTTAATATCATAAATTAAGAACTATCTTTTGTTGATTGATTGCATGTCAAAATGTTAGGAGTTTGAATTACTTTTACCATTCGCAAATATGGATTTCAACAACAAACACATGATTAGATTTCCATTATTCCAAAGTCCTTTAAGAGACAACACGGTAAGTGCACTATGACAGCATGACTTTGCTACAATATATTAACTAATATGCATTTATCTATTTAAATCTTTCTTCTATTTCATTGTTTTTTTTTTATTATTTAATTCTAATTTTCACGGTGCTTTTTAAATTAAGATTTTTTTTGTCCAGAAAAGGACTTATAATGAGCCTTACAAAAAAGAAAGGAATAAAAGAAAAATAGAATAAACGCAAAGTGCATTACGAGAAATTAAACTCACGCTCACGCATTCACAAAACATGTCCCACAATGTTGAGGTGCATGTTTGATATTTCATAAATGTTTATTTGGGAGTTATTTCTGAAGATAACTAATATAAAGAGTAAATTTTTAATAAATATTTTAAAATTAAAAAATATATTAGTATTAAATTAATATCTTAATATTTAATTTAATTTTAAAATTTTATATAACTTTCTTAATTTAAAAATAATATAAATTCATCATCCATTCTTTTTTCCTTCAAATGATATCTGTGGTCACTAATGATTTTGTTTGGTGAGCCTTTGAAATCATTAACATCAATTTATTCAATGCCTTCGGTCTTGGACTCTTGCAATATCGTGTGCAATCATTTGTTTTAGGCTATACTTTGGTTTAATTTGAGAAGTTTTCAACTAAACAGTGTTACTACGGAACCCTTAAAGCTTGTTTTCATCAATAATGTTATATATAAGATACTTGATTTCTAGGTTAGTCATAAATGACCTTTATGATTTTATAACTTAAAAATAGCTAAATATTTTGACATTTTTACAAGTAAATATATTGATTTGTAAATTTATAAAATTAACCCGGTGTCGGTAAAACCTAAATTTTTTATTATAATTTATTTCTTAATATGTGATTATTTTTTTATTTTTTTATTGTTTTGTGTTATAAAGTAATAATTTTTATTTTTTAAACAACTAAATAAAAATATGAAAAAAAAAATATTGCCGCTTTCACGGTTGCATTTTATGTCTCCCTTGTAGTGAAATGCTTTAGTGTGGAACCACTTAAATAAAAACATTTCAACACTATATTTCATTCAAATCAAACCAAGAAAATGTGAAAAGTTTATGTATTTCGTTTCTCAGAGATTTCAGTCCCTTTAAATTCGGTGAAACCAAACGTAGCATGATACTTCACTTAATCATAGTATGTTGCATTGTTGTTCCCTTTGACTTTTTCTCTTCTTCTTCTCCTTTTTTTATCAAGAGGAAAACCTAACTACAATCGTATAGCTCCCTTAAGGGCTCCTCCCACTTAGAGGTTCCTCTTCTACTATTGCAGAGTTTTTTTTTTTTTTTTTCCTCTTTTGCTTAGTCTATTCACATTAGATGAGTTATTTTCTCTCTTATATGAATTTTTTCCCCTCTTATTTCTTCTTTCATCTTCATACCTCTCACCTTTTATTGTCTTTTCTTTTCTGTTTTAATCAAATCAAAGAATTTGTAATCTCATTATCAGAGACATGTCTTATATACTCAACATTGTGTTGTAGCTTCACTTGACATGTTCATCCATTGTTGACCTAGATTATTATTTTTCTTGTGAGAAGACAACATTTAAAGTTGTTGGTAATTATTTTAGACAGGCTGGTTCAGTCTTTTATTCGACTATATGTTAATTCAAAAGGAGAGAAAAAAAACATTTCATCCTCTATAGCTCCATTAATATTTTCTTATAAAGAAAAGTTGTGAATTTTTTAAGACTTGTTTTTGTATATTTTAAACTTAGAAATTCCTTTTTTTTTTTTTTCAAATTTGAACATGCATATTTATTTTTATTTGTTCATCTATTATGTACTGCTATAGTGCTTAGTTTTAGCCTCCTTTAATTTATAAGTACCAATTGAGATATTCAAAAGATTGCTTGACAAAAAAAATTTAAAATCGTAGGGGTTGAGTTGTGCAAATTAAAACCTATATGTGAGTAGTCTTATTTCGTGTACATATTGTTTTTTGTACATTGAGTCAAAGTGGCCTTCGTCAATGTTACTTCGGATCTAAGGTCCAAGCCCTTTGTCAGGCCCTGTATTTGGATGGGTTTTCGTTGGTTTTTGTTTTGGGATCCAATTTGGTCCATCTGTTTTCATTGGCTAAATGCATAGTTTGGCTCAACCCTCAAAATTTACAGTTAAAGGTAGGACCTGGTATCCATTTTGTTTTTCTCAAGGCCCAAATGTGTAATAAGAACAGAACCAATGTAGCATTGATCATAAATCTTAAGGGGAGAAAAACTTGTTGACATATATTTATACGCCCCAATTAGCACTTAAATGTCATATTTATTAGTTCTGGCGAAAAATCAAAACACTACAAAAACTGTATTCAACTCCTGTGAATAAGCTACACCAGAGAGAAAGAAAAAGAAAAAAAAAAAAAACTATTGTGAATATAGTATTCGTTAAGTAATTTATCTCTTTGGATAATAAATAACGTTGTTCAAATTTTTATTTTATATTATTTTTATCCTAAATTCCCATCTTTTAATTATTGTAGATTAAAATTTTATTTTTCTCTTAAATTCAGTTACTTGTATACTATTAAACTTAAACTCTTTGATTTTCTTGTAATTTCACTTTTATCCTAAACTTAAGCTATTTATAGTTTTATGACTATTTATTAAAATTAATTTTACATATTTATTTTATATTTTAAATTAATTTAAAGTCCTTATATAATATACAAAATGCTTACTAATTAGTACTAATTATAAAATAGAAAGAAATATATTTTCCTACTATCTTGTAGGGTGATCATTTTGTTTAAGCAGATTATTTTGCTTTGTCTAGTACGTCATCACGACTGAATTTAATTTTGGCTTCATTTGTTGATTGAAATCAACTTGATGTATGGTACATTTGTTTATTAAGTTAGTTTCTTTTTTCCATCTAGTCTATCTCGATCATGGTTTCGTGAGGACTGGAATTAAATTGACTCATATTGAAAATTCTATAAATTTAAACATTACGCCTAATTAATTAAGTCACAACCTTAAAAAAATTAAAAGTATCATTAAAAAATGTTTAACTATATAGTATGAAACAAATAGTATCTAAACAAAATATGATCATGTTATAAAATTATTATGAACAGACCTACTATAGTTTCTCATTAATTGGATAGAAAAACATATACTCGTTAGTAAAAGTATGTTTTATAATATATATTGGAAAAAATTTTCTTATACTAATATAAGTTTAACAACTCTTAGATTTAATTTGAACTTTTTATTTAATTTAAATTTAATGAATTATAATTTATTATTTCATTCCATAATATGCTGAAAAATTCTAATCCAATCAATCTCTTTCAAAGGAATCAATGCCAAGTTAATACCTAAAAGTACTAACTAATATGAACACAACTATCATTCACTTTGAGAAAAGCACACCAGTGTCACTTTTTTTTTCTCTCAAAGTGTGAATAGAAGAAATCAGAAGAAGTCGTTATAAACTCAGTTGGAACAATAAAGGGCCCTTCCGTAAGTTTTATAAATTAATAGTTAAATTATACCGTTGTAACTATGACCTAAACTACGATGAATCGAGTGTGGCAAAACTAAGTTCGTTTTAAATAGATTTATTAGGAGAGAGAAAAAAGTAAATATAATTATTTTTATAATTTAAATTCAATTTATATACCTCATTTTTTAAAATTGTTTTATATTTTAAATTAAGATACATAAGTTAATTTT